CTGTGGAATGTGTAGATGTTTCCAAATGCTAATTTTCTAGTTTCACAGTTATCATATCAATTAAGTATTATTTTTATTTCCTAATTCCAGATAGCTCTTATTATGAGTTTCCCTTCCTGTTTCTGCAGGCCTTTTCATTATCTATTACTCCCTGCCAGCCTACATGAAAAGCAAAATGTAACTATATTGTACAAACCTGATTTTAGCTAGGGCCTGGACCCTTGACTGTTTTGGGGTCACACATAGACCTGCTAACCAGCTTACGAGCTAATTTAAATGGAGCAATTTAGATTGAGATAATTTCTACTGTCAGTATAACTTGTGTGATTTCAACTTGACTAACTAATTTAGTTATCCTTCATACTCCCTATCTGGGTAGGATACATGCAAGGTATAGAGAGATCCTTAAAACCTCCAATTTTAGAAAGAGCGAAATTCTTATTTCACTCTAAGAGTCATCAGTTTTTTATTTATTTATTTATTTATTTTATATCAGAGGTGCTATTAGTCTGTCTTCACTTTTGTATCCTTATCACTTTTCTAATAAAAGGATTTTGCCAAGTGCTATCGCCATGTATTATTTTAAAAAACATAATATAGTAAATATAAAAAATGTATGGCATCACCTTAATACTTTATCAAAAATTCTAAAGGTATCCTGTTTTTAAACATCTTGTAACTTTTGTTGTTGAATTTTATGTTGTGTTAAGTTTGAAGAAAGTGATATTTAGTAAATAAAGTTAAATAGAAAAAAGTTACGTAAGTTGTCATGAAAACTGAATGTAGACATGATGAACTGAAAAACATTTATAGCAATTCTGAGCACTGTATCAGAAATTCTAAAATATGCTGCTTTTAAAAATTTTTATGATTTTGCTGTTGAATTTTATTTGCATGGGTGTGAAGAAAGTGACATTTAATAATAAGTTAAAAACAACCCCCCCCAAAAAAAAATTGTGCAGATTATCTTAAGAAAACTGAACGTTGAATATGATAAACTGAGATAAGACTGAAAAAAAAGAAAGAAAAGAAAACTGAATGCCAATACTTAACACTCAACTGGGAATTCAAATGCTGCTTTTAAAAATTTGGTGTTTTACTATTGAATTTTATGTAGTATAATTACGAAGAAATTGATTTTTAATAATAAAACATAAAAAAGTAAAATTGTTAAGCTAAAGAAGTGAGTCCAAGAGCCAACAATGCATCTTTAAAATTATGACACAGTATTACACAAGGCATAAAAAAATTCAATGCGGGATATAACGAATTTATCTTTTATATCAATACTGAAATTCAGTATTGCAGAATACAGCATTATCTTACACAGTCTGGATTTACCACAATTCAGCTAGAAAATTTCAAAACACATTAAATTTTAACTGAGCAAAATAAAAATAAATTAAAAAAATAGCACACACAATTATATCAATACATGAAAGTCATCAGTCCCTCCCCGTTGTTTTGTTTACTGTGGTTTTAAAATTATGTGATGTAATACATATTTCAATTTTCCCTGGAGTTCCACATTGTATAGCTATGCACACAGGCCATTTGCTTCCAAGCTCTGACAGCTATTGCTGGGAAATGTTAAAATATTAGATGGTTATGTGTTACCTGCAGGATAATGCTAGGGTTTCTATAAATTCTTTTATTACTACACTAAATATACACATATTTACATATAGTTCAGGAATGTTGATCACATCATTCATATTCTCTAGATTCTGTTTCTGGATTACAATCGTGCACCCTCTGTCAGTGGCTTTCCTACAATGCCATCTATTGGCTGATTACAAGAAGGTGGAAATAGCATTGATGAGGCATGCTCAGCATTGACTTTTATCTTGGTTTGAATGAATTAGATTTCATCTATGAAACCGAGTTCATTAAATCAAATGCTAACCAACAAGATAATGAAACACTTATTATTACAGATGAAGCGCAAGTTGATAAAGAATGGGAAGAGAACTTAGACATCAATGACTGAGGTAAGTCCTGCATAAAAGTTAACAATTGAATAATTATCAAAATTATTGCAATGGTAGAAATCTTGTCAGAGCATATGATGAAAATTGTTCCCACAACTGAATATAGCTTTAGAACTTATCAAATAATAAAACATCCAATTCACTGCCACAAAAGAAATGTATGTAGAGAAAAGCCACAGGAAAAAATATGCAGACATCAAAAAATGAATTATGAAAAACATGCATTTTTAAAAAATATTTCAAATAAAAACATTTGAATATATTAATCATGTTTTATTTATTGAAATTGAAAGGGGGAAAATTCTGGGGTTGGGGGAGGACAATTATTTATTTTATGTATTTAAGCTCTTCAATTAGTCTGAATAATGCAAGGTTAATATGTGCATAAATTCTGTCATTAAACTTTATTGTTGCTTAATTGTCATTAAACTTTACTGAGTGAAAATTATTTTAAAATCTTCAAGATCTCTTCTGTTGCAGAATATTTATAATATTCATTAAACAGATGCTCTAAAATAAATTTTGAATTTCATCTCATGAAAACCCAGTCTGCTGCATTTCTGTAATCAGTAATGTTCTATGATAGGACCAGATCATTTTCAGAGAAAATGAATGAAACTAAGAGTTTTGGAATGTACTGTATAGTAATTTTAATAGTTATAGTATTATATTATTATATTGTAGTACAAAATCAATCATTCTCACTGATAAATCCAATTGAACATTACAAAAAGGAAAAGTTTTATTTATTCAATAATTATACATGTGCTTTTAAATTAGATAAAATTTAACACCTTTCATTTGGTTGTGATTATAATTAAATAGTACATGCATTTTGAGATACAATGAGACATAGATCTACCTTCTTCAAGAAGTACTGTAATTTAAACTAATAATAGTCTTTGTTTATACTCTGAGAAATAATTATTAGAAGATGCTTAAAAAACTCCACATAAGAATTATTAATTGACCCATTCAAGGAATGAAATTTTAATAAAAATAAACTGAAAAAGAATTTAACATTATTACAATAATTGATACATTCATCTTAAATACTTTAGTGATACTAATTTTCATCAATTATTTACAGTTCCAACTTATTTATCTTCAACATGAAATATAACAAAATTATTTTTTCTAAGGAATTAAAATATATTCTTTTACTCTCCTCATTTTGTAATACTGGGGGGAAAAAAAAAAAACCTAAATTTGAAAAATATTGTTTTCAAATTTCTCCAAACAAATATTCTAAAACCAATGTATCGGTGCAATAGCAATCTGTTGACAGTATATGAATATTATTCAATATTCTTCAATTTATTTGGGTTAAATTAATTAAGACCTGTATGTACATTAGTTACGATCATAATTCAGATTTTCTCATAGTTAAAAAATATGATAATCAGCAAATAATTTATTGTAAATACATTATTACAATAAATTATTTGCTGATACAGCACAATTATACTTTCTAATGTCTAAAAATTTTTAAAATACAGATAGCCTAATTTCCTTTTTAATAATTTTAAACCTATCATCTAATTTTTGGTGACTACTCACACCACAAATGCATTATTTGCTGTTCTAAATAGTTCCCCATGCATTCATATTCTAAAATCCCCTCATACTCCACACTCACAAAATGCAGATGCAAGTTTTAATAAATTTTGATAAAATAAGGTGAAAATGATCAAAAAGAGAAAAAGACGACCTAGATGGTCATACAACTAATATCCCTTCCCCCCCAAAAAAAATTTTAAAATAAACCGCATATTAATATTATTTTACACAACAAAATGTCCATAATAACTTATTTATCTTCAACATGAAATATAGTGTGCAAAAATTACATGAAATTATAAATGAAAAAATACATAATCATGAGAAAAAAAATGAATGAGGAAATATATATTGCATAGAATTTCTGTACAAAATAAGTTTTGTTAAAAAAATAGTCTTAATTCCAGAAGCATATACAGCCAATTTTGATTTAAAATAATTTTTGCACTTGTCTAAAATTTCCAAATACCCCCTTTTTTCTTACTTTATTAAAGAAATTTTCCTGAGGGTGAACTAATCTAATGATTGTCTTTAAATAACATACGAATCTTGTTCACATGCAAATAGAAATTATATTTGCTTCAAACACTGCAGTAATACAGCCCTAACACCCAACAAAATATATGAGCAAACTGTAATCAATAAATAAAAAATCTCTCGACTTGGAAAAGAAATCTCAGAATAAAACTCAGTGTTCTTAATGTTTCTATAAGTTTCATACATGATTCAGGAGAAATAATATCAAATGCTATCCATAATCATTTTTGGAAACATGATTTTTATTATAACATGAATTTGAATACAATCTACATAACACAGAAAATTGAAGAAAATTCTGCCAAAAGCTATAATTAAATTTCACATTATGTGTTTATTGACACTGATCTATTTACCTTAAGAGTAAAATGTGACGTATGAGTAACGAAACAAGCACTGGACTCAGTGCTGGGGAGAGGGGACTAATCATAATCCCAAATACCCTTTCTACTTTGAAATTTGCCAAACTCTTAGCAATGTATGACAAAGAAAATGAAGCATTTTGTAAAATCTTGATAAGGGAATTTATGGAATTAAATTTGAAAGAAATGCCAATTATAGCATTAGTTTTTTGCACAAAGTTAATTTTTAAAATTTCCATCATTTACTTTACACAACTAAATATTAAAAATTCAAAAGAAATTCTAATTATAGCATGAGATTAGTTTGTTAAACAAAATTAATTTTTAAAATTTACATCATTTGCTTTTTACATAAAATTAAACAACTAAAACTTTATAATGTTATAGTTTCCCAATAGATAATGTCTGTTTTGTGAGTTTTGCTGTTAGTCCTGCATCAGATCAGATCCAGCTGAATCTTTGCTAATAAATTAACTACAACATTTACTTCAAATAAAAAATTAATATTTATATTTTAGAAACTAATGAATGTTAAACATGATGGACTTACAAAAACAGAGGAACAGAGTATCCACAGCCATTCCATATACACTGAAAAATCCTGAGGCTATAATGTAAGCACCAAAGGTGATGAACTGCAGATGGAGAAATAATTAATAGCTTAAATAAGAAATATAAATTTAACAGAAAATTATTTTTGTTATCAAATTATATTTATACAGACAGAAGCATCAAATTCTTTTAAATAATTTAATCACTAAAAAAATAAGTTATGACAAACACTTGAGAGCTTTCTGCATCATGAAAAATACTTTTTGGTAGACATTTTAAGAGAAACTGGTTAACCCTTTCCGGCGCAGTGTGTTTGGTATAAACACACCAAAAATATTCCCTCTTTAGACACTGAAAATAATCGATAAATGTCACAAAAACTACACTAACGGTTACTTTAATCTCTTTTATGAATAATAGATGGCAGTACCACACAAGCAAATCATTAACGTTGAGATATATTCTGTTTTTAAAGACACTGATTTTTCAGAGAAAAGTTTCATATTTTTTTTTAATATAAAGAGTATCAATGAAAAAAATCTTTATATAATTTTGTTGTTCATATGCTAATCTGCCTATTCTGTATTACTTTTAATTTTTATCTTTGAAATATTGCACATAGTGAAGCCTTCAGTGTATGGTGTGTTCGTACTGAACACACTGTACTGGTAGTGCCTGTCACGTGGGAGTGAGTCACAGAATCTGGTCTCGTGCTTCAAACATGAGAAAGGCTGAAAGTGCAGATTTATTTATTATTTGTTTTTATTCTTTTCTGGTTTTGGTTTTGAAGATCCCGGTGCTTTGTTTTCACTTAACTATTTGATTTTCAGTGAGAGCAGACCCTTTTTTTCTCTTGCTTTCATTGTGCGTAATTTGCTTAGTTTTGATTTCTGTAGATTTTTATTTGTATATATATATATATTTAATATATTTTTTTCTATCAATAATTAATTGTAAATATTATAGTATTTTAATTATTTTTCTTATAAATTTTTAAACTGTGTAAATGGCTTGGAGAGGTCTCTGCATTGCCGAAGAAATGAGTTTCCTTTTTTTTTTCGCGGTTTTTTTTTTTTGGGGGGGGAGCGTAGAGTAGCAGGCCTCCCAGTGGTGCACCCTGGGTTATGCTAAATCTGCTACAGAGATCAGAGTCTACTGTTTTTAAATCATAGACAAAGTATTTTACTGTAATACATACTTCACAGCAATGCTCACCTATCACAGCTCGTGCTTCGGACACACCCATAAAATGGAAACGGTTTGTGCTATCTTTGTAAAACTATACCTGCATACTCTCCTAGGCCTAAATAGACCGCCTACAATTTTCTTGGGTAAAATTCCAACTTAAGTAACGTGCCGGAAAGGCTTAAAAAACTCTCCATATGAACAGATTTCTCAGATCCAAGAACTAGCCTTCATTCCTAAACAGTTTGCATGAGTAAGCATTAACAGGAAATAATTAAAATTAATCACGAAAATGTAAAAATTTACAAGGAATCTATACATATTTAAAATTCAAAATAGATTACTTCTAAATCAGACATTACAAAACTTGAAAATTAAAATACAAAACACAAAATTATTCAGAACGAAATATTTCAAGTTTGAAGTAATTCAATACTGTGCCATCACCTGTGTAACACAATATACATTTAAATCAAAATTTAAAGCCCTCGATTAATGCGATACATTTCTGCCTCATTCTTTTCTTCATATTTTTGAAGAACTCCTTCCCCAAAGATTTTACTCAAGAGGCTACTCATTACGATAAGATTAACAAAAATCAAAATCTATATATGTAAGATAAAAAATATGTAAATCAAAATTCTAACAGTAATCTGCAATAGTCCCTTAACATTTTTTTAATTTGGCTATTTCTCTTTTCTGTGCAAAAAATGGTAACTTCTTCTAATAAAACTCTTCTAATAAACTTCATCATTTCCAAATTAATCCATGTCATATGATCGTACATAATATTGCTGATGAAGGTACTTCATGTGCTCCATTTTTGGCAACTAGAACACTGCGAACATTAGCAGAAGATGAACAAGGGAAATTTCCTCAGGCATCGAAGGCACATATAAATGCTTTAGCTAATCGCAAACATCAAATTTGAAATTAATAATATTGGGAACCAGAATTTTTGGCTCTGTCCCATGCTTTCTTCAGATACTTTCCTGCTTTATTTGTATATTCTTCCTGCTTTATTTGTATATTGTAAGTCTGAAGTAATTCAATACTGTGTCATCACCTGTGTAATACGATATACATTTAAATCAAAATTTAAAGCCCTCGATTAATGCAACACATTTCTGCCTCATTCTTTTCTTCGTATTTTTGAAGACCCCCCCCCAAAGATTTTACTCAAGAGGCTACTCATTACGATAAGATTAAAAAAGAAAATCAAAATCTATATATGTAAGATAAAAAATATGTAAATCAAAATTCTAACAGTAATCTGCAATAGTCCCTTAACATTATTTTAATTTGGCTATTTCTCTTTTCTGTGCAAAAAATGGTAACTGCTTCTAATAAACTTCATCATTTCCAAATTAATCAATGTCGTATGATCGTACGTAATATTGCTGATGAAGGTCCTTATATAAATGCTTTAGCTAATTGCAAACATCAAATTTGAAATTAATAATATTGGGAACCAGACCTTTTGGCTCTGTCCCATGCTTTCTTCAGATACTTTCCTGCTTTATTTGCTTCCTGTTAGGATGTCTTCATTTGCCTCGCTCTTTCATCCATTGTATTTGTTTTGTATTAATGTACTGTTATGTATTGATAAAGAACTAGTGCACAGTGCACCCAAAAAGATGTATAAATAAGAATTAACATCTCAAGAGTTGACTGCTCAGAAATAAAATATGTTAAACAATCATGATAATTGCATTTGACTGCAACAACATACAGGGTTCATAGCCACATTTTAGTTAAAAAAATAAGCACCTATAAGCACTTTTCAAGCACATTTTAAGAAAAAAATAAGCACCTGTCTAATTACATTATACACAACTGCATAAACCTTAAAAGAAAAATTAGACTTGCAATTTAAAATATGAGCAATGCAATATTTATTAAGAGAATGAGCATTACCTCAACCATGGAAAACAATTAACTTTTTTTTTTAATTTTAAATGACAGTTCAATTTACAGAATTAGTTTACAATGAGAGAAAAAAAAACTATGCAGAACTAAACTATATTACAAGATTTAATGATGAAATTTCAGTTCAAAATATAGAAAATAAATAATAATAAGCCATATCAATTGTATTCGCTTAGCACCTAATAATAAATACAATTTGTTTTTCCACTCATATTAATATTTAAATAATTTAACTTAAATAAAAATTCTGAACATTTTCTAAATTTTCATTGCATAACAGTTTTCCCTTAACATATATTCCAAGCAAAGTAATTTTAAAAAAAGAGGAACATTTCTGAAACCAGGAGACGGGAAATTGCTTCATGTAGTCATCCTTTAACAGTAAACGCTTAACTAACCCGCATACTCGGAAATTGCCGAATATTCCGTATAGTCGTATTCCGTATGTCGGTCGTAACTGGAAAAAGAGGAGGGGGGAGGAGATTGTAGCCGTTCTTTAGATTTCTCGGCTAAATAAAAGATTTTGACATTTCGATATGTGCATCATAAAAATTGACCAACGGAACTGAGAAATATTCTGCTTAGAAAGAACGGTAAAACTTTTTTAAGTGTTCATAAATAAATCTCAGACTGAACATCAAAATTAATTATCTCTGCAAAATACTGCAAACGTTATTGCACAATACATGCGGTGTAATTCTTCCATACGTGATATTACGCAATCGGAATCAGATCAACAGCTGCCGGTATTCGGAGAATAAAGAAAGGGAAAGAAGAGCCTTACTAATCTGGGGTGTTTTTAATTCTAATTTTGAACAGACCGTGTTAAATTTCCGAAATAGAATCATTCTTCGCTTGGGTTGGGTTGGGTAGACCGGCAAAACTTTTAGTCCTATTCAATCCAGGACGCCTATTCTATGATCACTGGATCTGTCTACAACTTGAGCGAAAACAATATTGACTCAAAAAAAAAACCGGTATGGACACGCATCACAAACTTATCGGAGAAAGCCATTCTGTTCTGTGGTCCCCTCAGTTGGTGGGCGGGTGGGTCCATTTGACCTTTACTGAAAGGGGACAAGGCTTCAAGGAGCTTTAGACCAATCGCAGTACAGACGAGTGACGAAATTTATAGCGCGCGCTGGCTGAAGTTCTATCAATATTCTCCCATTATTTCACTAACTCACACGCTGCATTTGTAATTCGAAAAAAAAATTGCACAAACAGTATTATGACCACACGCAGCGGAACATGCTGCTGTGTTATGTGAAGGAAAATCCCGTTTGTTTTTTAGGGAAAGTTAACGCAGGAATTTAGGAGCTAAGAAATAAAGAGTGATATGGGATACCATGATAAAGCAATGAGTAAATAGATAAGAGCAAGATGAAATTAAGCTTACTTCAAATCCTTTTAGAAATAAACAATTTTAATCATTTAAATTTATAATATGATTAATTTGCATTACAATCTAATAGCAATTTTTTTTTTTTTTTTTTTTTTTTTTAATAAATTCCATGCTTACATTAAAACTGTTTCCCCGCAATTTACAGTTACTATTGGAAAAATATTTCTTTAAATAAGAAATTAGAAAGAAAATATTTCTTTCTTCCTTTTTTTATTTTCTTTTTCTATGAAAATTATTCTTTTCCGAAAGAAATAATTTTCATAGAAAAATTCATTCGCTATTACAGTATGGCCGATTGCTGCTGCATTCCAGCTATCACACACGCATCAAAATGTTTATATTTTAAATAATTTATTCTATAATTAACATGATAACTTAAAAAATAAGAAAATTTTTTTCAATATAAAATATTATAACCAAAATTAAACTAATCTATCCTGTATATGTGATTAATTCGTTTTGCAATTTTTGTCACACAATTACTAATACCTTTTTTAATATTACATTGCTGTTATTTAATTTTATATATATATAAGAACTGCCTCAGTTTTAAATATTCTTCCT